ATGATTATCGCGGTCGGCTTCGTGGTCAGCTCCTTCGGAGACGACCCTCTTGACCACTCTGACCGCATGCACGTTTTCGAGTGCCGCAACGAGGCAAAGAACACAAGCGAACGCAACGATAATCGAAGCCTTCATCGGCGTGAGGTCAACAAGCGGGCTTTCGTAAATGACACTGCCTACTACGTGCAATGGACGCCACGTACTACTGCCTACTGCGACGTTCCTCGTTTCTCGCTGTTCCGCTATGGCAATGGATGCAACGATTTTTCGAACGAGGAAGGTGTTGGTCAAAGCTTTGCATATCATCGTGCCGCTGGCATCGGGCAATTACGCAAAATACACGTATTAATAATGAATAATTCTGCGAGACCTCTACGCAGCCGAGGGCTATGTTGATGTTACAATTACGAGAGTCAGTAGCGAACTGAGCCATTCGGAAGACAGCATTAACAGACTGGACATACCGCGTTGAGGTACGTTGGTCCACGCAACGCCATAATAAAAGTAACATGACATAGCAAAGAACAAATAACATAGCATAATAACATAACGCAGCACAAAAACAAAACAACGTAAGTGAACGAAATGCTCATAACGGACACTTCTGACTGATTCTTCTACATCCTGAAAAGAAACTGGCCAACTTTTGCCATTTCACGAAAAGTTAACTGTTCTTTTATCACATATTACATGTCGAACTGCTACATCAGTGCTCGATGTTATTCTCGGCGTAAATATTCAAGCAATGTATTTTGAATATTTTCAAATGTCTACAGTACCCTGCGTACCTAGCTGATGGTCATCTTGTGCACCCCCGGTTGTGCATAGGGGAACGACCTCCCCATATGGAGGCTAGTTGTGGCAAATAATTAGTCGCCATCAGGTACCTGTGAGATCGCCAGAGTGTGGCAGCATTCGAGTTCGGTAAATTCGCTCCTCGGAGAAAAAGTTACAGTGCCAAGTGGCTGTCTCATATCCATGAGTAAGTGATCCGCCCGTTTGAAAGACAGAGGCAACCAGTGTCACCGCAACCTTGCAGTTAGTCGTCGGTTCAGCAAAGGCCATAGGAGGCAACTTCGATTTAAAAAAAAGCAAGCGGAATTGGAGGATCCGTCTGTACGAAATTTCCCAGGCCACCAGACCTGCCAACGGTCGGCAAGGTTTCACGCGCTATGACCACACGAATAAATGGGCCTCAGGTGCCCTGCGCGCTTATCGACCCGTTCTACAGCGGCGCTTCGTTATTCTACTGAAGAGAGGCTGCTAAAAATCCCATGTGAAATGCCACCATCTGGTAAAGGGACCCGGACTTCCCTCGTCGTTTGTACCTACAGTTGTAGAACACTGACGACGGACGAAACGTTAAACAAACAAATAGAAGAAAAGTTATGGGTGGCCCGCGACAACTCTGACCTCTGCGAGATAGAGTGATGGAAGTTGACTAATGGCGCCTGGAAGACTGTAGTTCGATTTGATTAGGAAGACGAACGGCTACCAGGAGCATAGAAAAAATCGGATTTGCAGTCGGCAAAAGCTAATTCCCCAAAGTCATCTCCTGCAGCGTGAAGTTTCTAAGACGGAGAGCGTTGTGCCTCCATTTGAACAAGAAGATATCCTTGAAGATCACCTCACATATGATCCCACAAAT